GGGGGTTGATGGTGTGAAGTTAAATGACTTTCCAATTTTCAGTTGAATGAATGAATGAATATCCAATTTTAAGCTGAATGAATTTTTATTTTTTTTATAACCTTTGATCCATGTGTTCTGGGTAAATTAATGCCTTGCTATCTATCCATAAAGCATCTTACTATGGAGATTTTTAGAGGGGTAAATGGATTTTACTGTAACGAAAGGCATTTTTGTCTTATTAAGATAATGACATTGTAATTATTACCAGGCGGTATATGTTTGTGTACTCATAATGAGATTTTTTTTTCGGTTTAGAACTTTGACCCCATTGTGTTGAGGCCCTCAGGATTGTTATTCTCCTCCATAGAATTGAAAAATGACTCCATTAAAACCGAGAATGAACAGATGAAGATCAGTGGGTTATTTAATAACGACAGATGGTTTCTTGTTCATGATGTACAGAATTGATCAAATTCCACTTCGTATCATCTTTTTTTTTTCCCCCAAAAAAACAAAAACAAAAAGGAAGCAAAGAACTGATAGGTATTGAAATTTACTCCTACCATTATCAATACAACCTATTGAGTCATTGTCAGGTTTGCGGAAATATTATGATTTTGTATGTCCATCAATGATTATTCGTGTGTGTGTGCGTCTGTGTATGTAGTTGTGTATGTGTGTGTGTGAGTGTACTGATGTGTCCATATGCATGAATGTATTTACCATATATTTGCGGAGATCAATAAAACAGTGTTAACTTTCCTATCTTGTCTATTGCATACGTTTGTTATATATTGGATTTTGTTCCTATATTTGTGTTATTTTGTTTCCACAGCAACGGAATATCAAACAGAAGTTTATAGCTTTGTTAAGACGCTTCAAGGTCTCTGAGGATGTAAGTGCATTTTTATTCCCATATTGCAGGAAGTGACTGTATCTAGAATAATATCTTTGATTATTTTTCTGAGTGTTTCTCATCTGTCTTCAGTAGTGTGAGAAGAAATTGCCAGCTTGTGCCATGTGCATAGTGGTACTGAATAAGACACTTGAGCATCCGTGCTTACTGATTGGATTTGGGGGCGGGGGGGG